TCTCCCATACCACAGCAGCTGTTCTGAGAAAAGCATTTAGAATTCTCTAAGAAGCATGTTTCAGAGATTCTTCACATTTCATGTGTTCTGTGAACAGCTGCACTGTGATAAAGAACTTCTTTCAAAGATCATGTTTAAAATTTTAACAATGTTTTTAAGAACTTAATATGTTAACAGTATGCTAAACTTCACAGAATTGGGAAAACTTTCTTCTCAAAGCTTGGAGTCTGATATGAAAGCTTCCTTCAGTGTACTGGGTTTCATGTAGAAAGCTTATCTGCATCTGCATGATTGGGATCTTGTTCCTCCTGCAACATAAACAGATGAATCTGTATTATCATCAAACCTAGAGGAAGGGTCACCTTTTTTTAAGTCTGTCTTTTGGAAATCAGTACTTTAAACTCAGTCTAAATGAAGCCTGATCCAGGGCTTCATTTGAAGTGAACTGGGTTTGACCATTTTATATAACATTGCAGTTTTTGGATGAGTCTGCCTCATCCATTTGCTGTCCAGATTCTTTTTTCCATTCATAATTGTTGTGGAGAGCTTTAAATTCTTGAGATTTAAGACATTATCATGTGAAATTTGTAGTAATCTCCTTAATTTAGCAACGATATTTTCTGGGCTATTTAAGAATTTGATAGCATGTATTTTCTACATGCCTTGAGTCTGCTGATGTAATTCTGTAAACATGAAAGTGCATTTAATAGCATTTTCGATACTAATTTTGGTAAACCTTCACCAGCAAATTATGGTAAATTTTCTGTATGTGTCAGGGATGTTGTAATTGGCCTTTGGGCAATGCTGTCTTAGTGTATTTGAAGGAAGAGAGGAGAAGGACCTCACAGACTGGTGTAGCTGGTAGGGGATGGCAGCTTGACCAAAGAAAACCTGACAGGGTGTCAGTTGATCTGCAGCTTTGGCAGCAGGTTATGAGCGAGGACCAAAAATTAGCATCTGCATGATTCGGTGCACTTGCACCACATAACTGCGAGTCCCCACTGGGAAATGTTCCATGTTTGCCTGGTCCAGTGGTAAATGGCTATACAAAATTTGGATTTGTGTATGACAGAATTTGAGGTTGTGTGTTGGGGGTAGAGGTTCATTTATGTTGGTTTCAGATGGTGTTAAACCCAAGGAGGGCTTTTGATGTGTGTCTCGTGCAGCTTTCTGAAGAGATAGTTGTGAGTAAGTTGTACCTTTGTCCAGAAAAGTGCTTTCCAGTGCACTGACAAGCACAGCTGAGCAAATAGTAAGACAGCATTTTGGTTCATGAACTCTTTGATTTTGCTTTTGCCTTGATCTTGGGAATCTGGAAGATAAGAATTTTGATAATCCCTTAACATTAATGTCTCGTAATTCCTAGAGGCAGCTGTTGAGCAAAACATGATGTTTTGCAGCCCTCACATCAGAAATTTTTATTTTGTGAAGAGATACTCCAAAGTCTGTCATTCCAGTATAACTGTGAACAGTTTTCTTCCCTAGTAGATGGAAGTAGGGGTTTGGAAGAGGAGGAAGAGCAGGGTAACTGACTTCTGCTCCTGTGCTTTAGATAATGTTAAAGCGAAAGTAGATGGACAGGTGCTGGACTCCAGCATGTATGAAGGTTTAGGGGTTTCGTGCATAGCAGTAAAAAGTCAGTTTCCCCAGCTTGATTTAAGACAGGTCTGGGCTGTAGTTATGGCAGGTAATTGCATTGCCCTGTAATTTTGCACAGTTTTGTTAAAAGTTAATTTCCTGTTCTCCATAGGAGTTATGAAAATGGCTTGTAACAGTGATGTCTGAGGTTGTTTCTAAGTACATATAAGAGAGATAACAAAGCTTGGTTGGAATGGAAGTGCTTTTTTCAAGTGTTGTCTTATAAATGCATGCAGCTTGCATTGTTCCAGGCTGTCTGTCCTGATGACTATGACTCTGAAGGAGGTGTCTCATGTTCTGTGTATGTCAGAGGCTGTTTACACACAGTTCTGTACTCCAGGCAGCAATACTCAAGCTAACGGCAGGGTTTCTGCTGACACTTCACAAGCATGCTGGCTGAGAGCAAATAACAGCCTTACTGTGCAGAAATAACTGGAGCCCACAAGGAGCAGCAGCATCCTTTGGTAGGAGTGACCATGAGCTTGTTTCTGCAGTTACTGTGTGTGAGCAGTTCCATTTGGTAGGAATGGAACCAGCTGGAACAAGCCATAATAAAAGGCAGTTTCTGAAAAGGGAGTTTGCTGTAGTGAATGGAAAAACCTCTCACACATAAAAGTAGTGATAACTTACTGAACTTCACCTTGCCATCACCAGAGACTAGAGACTTGTGATTTATGTCTCAAAAAATAGTGAGTGATTGACAGCTGACCATGGGATTAACACCACACCTTCAAGCCTGAGCAAAAATATGTGTTCTTTTATGGAAATGTGGGAAACTTTTAAACTGATGATAAGCTGTCATGTAAGAGTAAGATTTTTATATATAGAATTTATTGTTGTAGGATTTTACTGAGGCCAAAAAATGCATAGACCTCTGAAAAATAAGGAGGTATTTTACATGGATAACTCAAAGTTAGTAGCTTTCCCAAATTAGGCATTCTCCATTAAAGTTTAAGGCAATCCCCAGCTTGAAGAGCTTATGTGGTTTCTTGCACCTTTCCCTGAAGCATCTGGCATTAGCCTCAGTAGAAGACAGGATATTGGATTTTTAAAAAGTCTCATCCTCTATGGCAGTTTCTGTGTTTAAATACTCCCTGTCAGTTGTGACTTGGGCAAAATGATGACATTTTCTTTCCAGATATTAAAGAAACCCATGGCCTAGCATCTGCCTTGGAACTTTCACAAGCAAATAAGTCATTATTTGTTGCAGCCATTATTGCTGCTAATAAAGTCCGGGGTAAGGAAGCAAAAAGGGCCTTTGCATGGTATCCACAGATGTTTTCTTCAGCCGGTGGGTAACATTTTCAGGTCCCAGGCACGCGCACATGGAGGGTCCACATTTCTCTCTCCCAAGGGACCCCAAGGGTGACCCTGGTCTGGAGGCAGTACAAAGATAAGGGCCCATCAGGGAATAGGAGTGGCTCAGGGACAAAGGAACAAGGGAAGGAGACAATGGGGTCTTAACAGCTTTTTGAGGGAGGCTTCTTGAATGTCCCTAAACCAGGAAATGCCCCCCAGGGTCTCCACAATTATTCTTAAGAATCCCTCCTTTAGTGACATTACTGAGCTCCTTGATGGAATCATGCCTGGACTCTGAGGTCTGGGTGATCAGCTGTGGCTTTAAGCATCCTGAACTTCCATTTGCTGTTTTGGCATCCTGCAGCTGAGCAAATGGTGCTACTTCACTGGGCAAAGAGATACCCATTGTCCCTTTCTCTGTGCCAGAGATTTGTCATCCATACTGATCTTTAAAGGTGGATCTTAGTTTATTACAGGGAAAAAATAGTGTATTTTGAGGAGCTAGTGTGCTTTTTGTTATCCCTTTAACATTTATGGAGATCTTGGGTATTAGGCTTTTAAGCTGCTTTGTTGAAATTCATTTGACAAGGACTTAACAGCACCAGATGGTGCTTTTTGTCTGAAATATGGCACTTTTTAGTTTCCCTTAGGTTATCTTGATGAATCTGGCTAGAATTTCTCCAATGGATATTTGTCTCCTATATCTCTGACTTACTTATTTGAAATAAAATTTAGTCTGATAGGAGCAATATCTGTGTGCCTTTAATCAGAGGCAGAGTTAGCATACTTGATCAGCTGTTTCAGCCCTGGTATAATCAGTAGTTTCTGTGCTATTAATGTGCCTGCTGCAATATACAGAAGTAATAAAACACTGAAATCTGTTTCTCTTCAAAGCAGATTTTTTTTCTTCTTTGACAGTATTTTTCTGAAGAGCTGGCATCAATTGAAAATTTATGACTAGATAAGGAGTTTCATGAGATGCTTCTCTGTCCTTGACTTGGCCTGATATTAACGTTGACTAGGAAAATCTGCCATGTTTTGGCATCCCGAAAAGATACTGTGGCACCTGAAAGCTCCAAATATGCCTTGGGTTGAATTGTGGTGCAAGCGTGTGCAACGCTTAAAAGATCACATTTTTAATGTTGTTGAATATGGCCAGTCTGCTGGGCCGTGTGTTACAAATATAACTACTGGAAGTGGCCAGCTCTGCTCTCCAACATGTGCCAGTGACAGCCGCAGGCTGTTCCGTACCACAGCAGCTGGGGTGTCTGTGTGGGCTGGGGGCACATGTGGAGAACACTACCACAGGGACCATCACCTGCAACGGTTTCAAGCAAAATGAAGACCCTCAAAAGAAATGTGAGGAGGAAAAATAATGCCAATGTCAGGACTAGCCAGAGGCAGGCTGTGCCAAGTGGGTTGGACTTCTGACCTGCCTGTGACTACCTTTGCTGGCACACTGCTGGGGATTGATGTCTCAAGCTGGCTGGAGGATTGTCCGCTGACCTACTTCAGCCAGTGTGACCCCACTGGCTTAGCCTGGATCTGGAACAGCCCTGCCAACGTCTCCAAGCCCAAGGGAGGGGGCTGTAATCTACCAGCCAGGAGCAGCTGCTGGGAGCTCCCAGCCTGGGAAAAGGAACAGGCTGCTAATGCCAGATGTGTTCTCAGTGATTCTGGTTTTGCAGAAGTGAATCTAACCCCACTATAGAGAATATGCATGTGCAGCAGTATCTGGTCATGCAGTCATCTGGCTGAAAGCCAGTCGTGTTTCAACAGCAGAGTCACTACATTGTTGTTCCCTCCCACAAGGGTTTATATGAGGTTCTATTTAAGCATTCTGCATCAAAAAACACTGTTTAGGTGCTATGGTTTACTTTCAAGAGTGCAGTGTTGGCTCTTATTAGGATTTGTAAATCTGAGTTGGAGGATGTAGGAAGAGGTTACATTCCTTTGCCTTGAAGAACTATATGAGGGTAAATGTTTTCAACTACTTAACATTGAATTTACTTATGCAGAATTATAGGTTTATTGATAAAAAATGTGTTTTCTGACTTTCCTAGGCTTTTGGACAGGCCCATACCAACCACAAGAAAGTAGCAGCAGATGGAGAGAGCAGAGAGGAAACCTTGATTCAAGAATCAGCTACCAAAGAAGAATACTACATGAAGAAGGTTATGGAGTTGCAGACAGAATTGAAACAGATAAGAAATGTCCTTGCCAACACACAGTCTGAAAATGAACGCCTTAATTCTGTTGCGCAGGAACTGAAGGAGGTGAGCGAAGATGCACAGGGTTCACTGCAGCTTGGATTTGTTACATTTTCTGGTGCTACGTAGCCAAAAAAAGGGAAGATTCCTGAGCTGAAAGGCGATTTGACAGACAGCAGCCTGTTCCTTTTTCCAGGCTGAGAGCTCCCAGCAGCTGCTCCTGGCTGAAAGGCAATTTGACAGACACGGTTTATATAGTCATGGCTGCACGTTTGGTCATGCTGGTCCTGTAGGTACTGCGCATCAGTTCCCTCAGTTCCAGAATTGCTGCCTTAAAAAGCAGAGGAACCTGTTTAGGCCAAGCACAGAGACCCTTGGATGTACTTTGCTGCTTCATTCCCAGTGCAGATTTTCTGGCTGCAAAATATTTGTGGCATAATTTCCCTTTTTATCCCTTTTTCCTCCTTAATTTCTGAAGGTGTGAGATTATAACAAAACACTGAAATGCACAAAGAGAGGGATAGGAAAGTTTATAGTCTTGAGTTTTTTCTCATGAAGCGGTGGCTTTTACATTTATGTAGCTTGCTTAACATAATTGCTTCGACCTTTTACTTTTTTTGCTATTGAAACCACATATTTTTAAGGGGAAATAATTGCTGAGAAGTTACTTAAAGAGTTTAATTACTTACAAAATCTGTAGTTCAGCTGAAGTCTTTGTGGTACTGGTGCAGAAATGATTGTTTTGAGACTATTGCTTAAATTCAAACTATTGCTTAAATTCAGTCTGGTAAAACTACAGAGTCTGTAAACCACAGATGGATGGATAAAACAGTCAGCAGTTATTACTCCTGAGCTTTCTTCCACCTTCCTTTGAAGCACTGGGGTCTAATCTTGTCTAGTCCTAAGCTAATCAACTGGCCTCCCCTGCCAGGAGGGAAGGCTATCCAAGAGTCCATATCTGAATCTCAACTCACTCCATGTGACCTCAGCTGCAAGTGTCTCATGTAATTTCTTTCGGACATAGTAACAAATATGGGGATAATATTTGGTGGTAAAATCGATGAGGAAATGTGGGTTACTTTTCTGGAGATGTGGGGATTCATTGGTGCCTCTTGTTGGGATATGACAGAGAAGATTTGTGGTACAAGCGGTCACAAGTGATCAAACATGCTGGTTAACTTCTCCTTTAACTTTGTGGAAAAGAGTTGGAATCAAGCCTTCTCCTTAGACAGGGAAAGAGTTCTAGAAACACAGACACAACTCTTTGTCTGTATTTCCCAACCTTTAAGACTAGCTTAATAGAAAAACTGTCCACCCCAGAGGTAGCACAGTGTCTGTGAGGGATTCTGGTCCCTTCTCAAAGTGTGCTGAGCAGCAGATTTCTGGTCTGCTTCCAGTGTCACTGCAACTGGAGGCGATTTTTCTTTCCAGATATTCCAGTCACCTTTTAAGGAGACATAAAAATGTGAATTCATGTCAGCCTTCAGCTTTCCCTGTGGCCTTGGGTTTGTGCAAAGATAGAGAGTCAACACTTACTCAGGCATGGAATATGGGCTATAGCAACTTGTAATTTGTATTGGTGTACTGTAGTGTCTGATTGCAGCAATTTTGATTTCTTGGTGTGCTGTGAAGTTGTGCTCTCTTTCAGGCTAAAAACAAACAGACAATTTTATATAGTCTAATCTTTACCTGATGTGTGAGGGCATTGTAATTTAAGTTTATTAGTCTTAACAGTTGCAGGTGATTCAGTGTTTGTATTCAAAACATGCCAGATTCAGTTCTTGGCACATCCTCCAGCTGCAAACATTTCCCTTATCTCAGTGTGCTGTGTGTGCCTGTTGGTACCTGTGTGGTTATTCAGTGGAACCCTGCTGCACACTCTCAAGGGCTGAGACCATATTTAGTCATCACTGACATGCCTGTGTCTGGCCAGGAGTGGAGAGCTCGGAGGGAATCTGAGTTTGTAGGCCTGAGGCTGAAGCTTTCTTGGGCTGCAGGACAGGTGAGATCAGGCAGCAGGCCCCATATGCCAGCTGAAGTGACAGGCTGCCTCTGTCAGCAGCTAGCAGTGGTTTTGAATTAGAAATGTGGAAAACTACTCCGTCATATCATGGGCACAGCTACAAAAATACTATTTTTTTAGGCAACTGTATTCCCTGTTTGCCTAGTTCTGAAGCTGATTCTGTTAATGTTTTAGAACATACTTTTTCACTTTGTATGAGTTAAGTGTTTGAAGATAGGACTTGAAGGAAAATAATATTGGAAAAAATAAAAAGTAAGTGCAGTGAGCCATTTCTATAGCTCTCTATGTTCCAGCTCAATTTATTAAAGTGTCTTTGTACATTCATGAAAGATCCCAAGGTCATACTACACCAATATATTGGTTTTTACTTCTTATCTTTCAAAACCATGCTAACTTCTTTCGTTAAGTCCTGCATAAGTCTTGGGGCTAAGGGAAGGGAGTATTTTATGTCAACTAGTTTCTATTTTTTCTCAACCTGAGATCTTAGGCTTCATGGGTTTTAACTCAGTGTCTTTCTCCAAAAGGATTAATTGTATCATGTTTTCAACTTATTGCTCTGGTTATAAAGAAAATGTCTGTTGAAAAGCAGCAGCAAATATATGTCCAAATAAGAACATCTGGACTCATCTGACTCTGTCTTTCTCTTGTGAAAAGGCCCTTCTTGTTAAAGTTGAAACAGATTTGGGTACTGACTTCTGGTCTGGAAAACATTTGCTGGTTGTTACAGCCAGTGAAACAGCACAGGTGTAAATGCTGCTTTCCCTGCTTGTTTCTTGACTTTTTTTGAGTCGATAGTGAGGATTTGTAAAAAAATCAAGAATACAAAATCTAATTATTGTGTAAATGACTTGGTTTTCTGTAATTTTGGAGGGTGAGGGGAAATTGTATAATTTCAATATGTTTCAATATAATTCAATGAATTAGTGCATATAAAAAAGATATAAAAGATATAAAATTTTGCAATTTAATTGTAGTTGATCCAGGTGCCACCATTTTTGTTTTGCTTTGTTTGTTTTTCCAGGTCAACCAAAATGTGGAGATCCAAAGGGCCCGCCTGCGAGATGATATTAAGGAATATAAATTCCGAGAAGCACGTTTGCTGCAAGACTATACTGAACTTGAAGAGGAAAACATCTGTCTCCAGAAACAAGTGTCTGTCCTGAAGCAAAGTCAGGCAAGTTTTCCAACCAGTGGGCATTGCTTTTTTAGTACAGTTAATTCCTGTGTTACAGTATGATTCTGTCTCATTTGAGCATACACCTACTTATTTTCTATCTTTGTACTACTTTTGAGAAGCTCTTTATTTTAGCACCAAGACTTGTCCTTTCTGACTCTATACACAATCATAATACTTCACTGCTTCTACTTTGACTTCCAAGTCCTTCCATTGCCTTCTCTTTCTCTGATGAAACAAAGGTCTCTATCACTCTGCTTTGTTACTTGTTTTAGTCCTTTTGCTGCAGTAGTTTTTCAGTGTCTCTTTACAACGCCATCCATCCATCCATCCAGCCAGCCATCCATCCATCCATCTTTCATCCTTCCCCTTCTACAGTATCTGGAAATAGAAGTGTTTCTGAACATGTTTCTGAAACATGTTTTAATTGCTACTTTATTCTTATCTTCTCTCTTCGTTTCTGTGCTACTCTTCTAGCTACTTTCAATAAACTTGGAATGCTGTTATAGTTGCTCTGCACTGTGTGCACATCTGTGTGACTGCTTGTCTGAAAGGCCATGTTTAATTGTGCAGTTCCAGCTATTTCCAGAGTTTTAGAAAACTGCATTCTTGGAATTTCTTAATAGCTTCCCTGAGTTATCATTTGTGGAGCTAATTAAGATAGATGTGGTCTTTGGCATGGTTCACTTATCTTCATCTATCAGTGTGGGACTTCCTATTTTTATTCTTCAGGTAGCTGTCGGTTCCATTGCATGAATAAAGCTCAGTTGGGAAAGTGAAGGACATAGATGCTGCCAGGGCTGGAGTCCCTCTGCTCTGGAAACAGGTTGGGAGAGCTCGGGGTGTTCTGCCTGAAGAAGAGAAGGCTCCAGGGAGACCTTCCAGTACTTAAAGGGGCTCCAAGAAAGCTGGAAAGGGACCTTGGACAAGGCGGAATGGCTTCCCACTGCCAGAGGGCAGGGACAGATGGGATATTAAGTAGAAATCTTTGGCTGTGAGGGTTGTAAGGTCCTGGCACAGGTTGCCCAGAGCAGCTGCAGCTACCTCATCCCTGGAAATGTTCAAGGCCAGGTTGGGCAGAGCTTGGAGGAGCACCCTGGTCTAGATGAAGGCGTTCCTACCCATGGCAGGGGGAGGAATGAAATTAATTTTAAGGTCCCTCCCTGCCCAAACTATTCTCTGATTCTACAATTCCATGAAAATATTCCTGAAATCAAAATTCTTTAGAAAACGGAATGTTAATACCATCTGTTGTGGTCATAGTAAAATCTCTGTAGAATTTGCTGCAGAAGTCCTTCTGTGTAATGAATGAAAGCTGCCCTGTCAGGCTAGATATGTGGGATATCGAATGTATTTTATTTATGTCCAAGTGAAACTCTGTATCTCTGTTTATTACTTTGGGCCTCACTGTGCAAAACAGGATTCCAGGTTGGACCTGTTCTCATCTGCATATATTTGGTTTAATTATGCAGTTTTGGGCACTCTGACATCCTGTAGTAGGGACAAAAGGGGCTGTTGTGATCTCGATGCAGGCTGGAAGACAGAGGGAACTGATAAAATCAAACCTATGTAGTTGGTTACTTTTGGATTTTACCTTTTTTTCTCATTCATCATATTCAGAGCAGCAGGTGAAAGTTCCCAGCTCCATGTTCTCATTCTAAAATAACAATACTGGAGAATGCTGCCATTCTGGCCTGAGCTAAATTTAACCTCAGATGCTATCTCAATATTTGCTTGTAGTTATTGACTGCTGTATTTTTATTCTGGAAACTTTGAAAATAGACTACAGTCTGAAGTATTTTATCTTAGTGGAAGTATGCAGAACCAAGAGCTTGTTCTTTTCATGGCAGTGGATTAATTTTCTACCGTGTCCTAATCCTACTTGATGAACTTTTAATTATTCTAGTTTTTAATTATTCTAGTTACTCATGCAACTAGAAGCAGCCATCAAGTTTTCCCAGGCAACACTGAATTAACATACTTGATTCCTGGTTTGTAAGTTGGGTGTGGTCCCCACTCCCAGCTTGCTCTATGTTGACATCTAAAATTTATTTAGCAATTGGCAAAAAATAAATAATGGGAGATATCATATGGTATGAGTTCCCTTCTTTCAGAGTAAAGAATAATATTCTTTGTTTGCTTCCTCCCTGCTACTCCCAAGTGATTAAAAATTTTACATGAATTGTTTGTGTACATAATTTCAGTGCAAGAGAGATTTAGAAAAGTGCAGTACTAGACATGATAGATAGCATGCCATCAAACTCATCAATGTGGATCTGAAGTGTAGAATCTGAATTGTAGCCCTTTCAAGATGTGCTGAAATGATAATGAGAGAAATGTTAAAGCATTTTAATTTGAATGTATCAAAGCAGAGCTTAATCACAGTTTTAACCCAGTGGTGTGTATTTGAATGGCAGTGAAGCAGAGTGTCAAAGTGTACCTTTATCATGCCAGTTTTGGAAATGTGAAGCTTAACTTTGTGGAAAGTCTGGCCAGGGAATTTTTTAATTGAACAAATGTTTGCATGTAGAGCTAGGAAAGACTGTTTTTGGATGCTTCTGTATCAGACACACTGTATCTCCCACCTGTCCTGATTGAGCTGGAATAGACGAGCTCATTTGACAGTTTGCTTAGTGAATTTATTCTGTAGTCTCTGTGAAGGTAAATTACATAAGCCATGTTTACAGTCATAGTGCTAAAACTAGACTCCAGAAATGAAAAAAGTATTCTATTTCTACAATATTTAAGTGATATCAAGCATTCAAAAGCAAAATGACTTGGTGCCTCCCAGGCAGACATTTTCATCAGAGATTTCCCCCCCACTTTGTGTATCTCCAGGTGGAGTTTGAAGGCTTGAAACATGAAATCAAAAGGCTGGAAGAGGAAACCGAGTTTCTCAATAGCCAGCTGGAAGATGCCATCCGGCTGAAGGAGATCTCTGAGCGCCAACTTGAGGAGGCCTTGGAAACACTGAAGACAGAGCGGGAGCAGAAGAACAACCTTCGGAAGGAGCTGTCTCACTACATGAACATCAATGATTCCATGTACAACAGCCATTTAAACATCTCTTTGGATGGGCTGAAGTTCAGCGATGAAGCCACAGAGCCCAATAATGATGAAATCATGAATGGGTTTGAACAAAACTGCCTCAGCAAACTCAGCAATGGTAAAAACAATACTTCAACGCCCAAGAAAAATGAAAGCTTCCCTCCAGCCCCAAGTCTGGTTTCAGATCTTCTGAGTGAATTAAACATTTCTGAAATCCAGAAGCTGAAACAGCAGCTTGTGCAGGTAAATGGGTTTCCTAAAAAGCTGTGTACTTCCAAATAGCTCCTAAAGTTCGTTTGGGATGTAATTTCAGTCTTTTCGGTATCTCACATGGTACTGTTTATAGTGTATTTTTAAAGGCTTTAATTGGTTTAGAATTTGAGGATGTTAAATGTTTGTCAGTGAAAAACCACAGTTTTTTTTCTTTTCCTTTCTTTTTTGTTTTTAATGCAATGGAGTTGGCAGTCATGTCCTTTCCTTGGTGGAAAGTTCTAATGCATCTCCTGTGCAATACTTGCTGTGTCTACTTCATTATGTCACTACCGAGAACAATAGTGGTTTGTTTCAAAATTGAGAGTTACTCCAATCACCTTCATCAAAAGAAGTTTTGTACTCATATTTTCTGTAATTAGTTCAAAGAGCATAAAGTCTTAATCAGCACCAAGCATTTCTGTGCTATATTTGTGCAATTAGGAGGTTGGAGAGCTTAGAACAAGGTGCACTTTTCTGTTTCCTACTAATATTTTGTGAGATGTGTTTTAAATTATGTTCCATAAGAAAAAGCCCTTATGCAAAAAGCTGTCAGAATTTTTAAAAATGAGAAATTTAAGAGGAGAAACTTGAAAAGGTTTTGGTATTTCTGAGTCTTTCATGAAGTTCCAAGCTTTCACCATAGAGTAACTCGGTGTTTTCTAGAATTTATTTGATAATTTAGAAGAAAGCAATAAACTTTAGCTTGTTGTTAACTGAAAGGAAGTTTTCACAATGAGACCATCACCTAGGGAATAAATGTGTAAAAATGTGCATTTTGACGAGGAGATAAGAAAAAATTGGCAATGGACACTGTAACTGGAGATAATTTTAGAATACATTGTGGAGACTTTCCTATAATGTGCAAGTGATTGAATTTCTGTAACCATATGGACTGTTGGCTAAGTTGCTGTCTCTTAGAGTAAAAACCATTTAAGTGATACAATTCCCTTAACATAGATGTCTATGTTCCTGCATTTCAGATGGAAAGAGAGAAGGTTAACTTGTTAACAACGCTGCAGGAATCTCAGAAGCAGCTGGAAAATACACGGGGGGCCCTCTCAGAGCAGCATGAGAAAATTGGCAGGCTCACTGAAAATCTGAATGCCATGAAGAAGCTCCAGGCCAGTAAGGAGCGTCAGTCTGCCCTTGATAATGAGAAGGACCGAGATAGCCATGAAGATGGAGACTATTATGAAGTTGACATCAATGGGCCAGAGATCCTGGAATGCAAGTACAAAGTGGCTGTGGCAGAAATTACTGACCTGAAGGAAGAGCTCAAAAATTTGAAGGCAAAATACAAAGAATGTGAGTCTAAGTATGAGGAAGAGAAGAGTAGATATGAGACTGAGAGCCAAGCTCTCACTGAAAAGATCACCTCACTGGAAAAGTCCAGTAGGCATGATAGAGAACAGATGGCCAGGCTGGAGAAGGAGCTGAAGAAGGTCAGTGATGTCGCTGGAGAAACACAGGGCAGCCTCAGCGTGGCTCAAGATGAACTAGTCACCTTCAGTGAAGAGCTGGCCAATTTGTACCACCATGTCTGCATGTGCAACAATGAAACTCCAAACAGAGTGATGCTGGACTACTACAAGGAAGGTAAAGGTGGACGCAGTAGTCCAGAGGCCAAGGGAAGAAGGTCTCCCATTCTTCTTTCTAAAGGGCTGTTAACTATTGAGCTGGGAAAGGCAGAGAATGGAAGTGGTGACAGCAGCCCATCCCCGGTGTCATCTCTGCCATCCCCTGTGTCAGATCCTCGGAAGGAACCAATGAACATTTACAACTTGATTGCTATAATTCGGGATCAGATCAAGCACCTGCAGGCTGCTGTGGACAGAACAACTGAGCTGTCCAGGCAGCGCGTTGCTACTCAAGAGCTTGGCCCAGTGGTGGACAAAGACAAGGAAGCTCTTATGGAAGAAATCCTGAAGCTGAAATCCTTGCTGAGCACCAAGAGGGAACAGATAGCAACTCTGAGAACTGTGCTGAAAGCCAACAAACAGGTAACCAGGTCTTAGAGGTTTGAAGGTTACAATGTTAGGCAACTAGGTCATAAGCAAAAGAAAATTTTTCTTGTAATTCATTCTGCCATTCCCTCAGTTCTGTGGGGCTTTCGTTGCTGTTATTTTGCTAGTCTGAGGCTGAAGCTGGCTGTTTCATTAGAGGAACCCAGCTGTCCCATCTAAAGATGAGCACTGGGGCTTTAATTGACTTCAGCTTCTCACGTACTCCTGAGACTTTTATAAGGTTAAGGTAGCTTCAATCTACTGTCTGTCTGTATTAGATTAGGTTATATTTAATGTAGGACACCTAAAATGGAGATAATCTTATTTTCTACTTGAAAGAATTCTAGTAGTTACCCTTAAAAGAGTTCTGAAATTTAAGTATTGTTCTCTCTCAAACTCCAAAATAAAAGAGAGCCTTCCAAAATGAGAATGTGATATAAGAATGTGGTCAAAAGAACAGAGGTGAAAGGTAAAAATAGTCTTTGGGGATTGGACATTCAACAACATTAGCAGTGCAGTAGGTGAAAAAAACTGCCATTGAAGCACCACGTGACATGCTTCATCTTCTTCTCTATGCTTAAATTTAAATGGTCTCAAAAGAAAAGGTAGTTCAGTCTACTGAACTACTAGTGGTGTTGTTTAAGAATGAAATAAACACATTAAGTTTTCTTTTGCACATTTTAATAAAGGTGTCCCAAATGTAAGATAAGTAAGATGCTATAACAGGGAACTGCGCTAGTGATTGACAAATGCATTTAAGTATTGAGATACTAAGCAGATTGTTTTGTTCCTTTGTGTTGCTAGTAGATAGGTTTCACTACATCTATATTCTGAAACTTCCTTAATGCTGCTGCATGGTTAATGGGAGTAAGAGATGACTATGTCTGTTCCCAGTGTTCAGAAATGAAATTTTATTTTATTTGTACAAGATAGGTTCACCACAAGTTTAACATTCCAGTACAAAGTAAATGTTTCATTATGTGAATAGTGATTAAAAATCTTTAAGCCAGCCATTTGATAAAGAGTTTCATTAAAGGTTATGTTTCTGTTCTCCCTGGTAACAACAGACTGCAGAAGTAGCCCTTGCCAACTTAAAAAGCAAGTATGAGAATGAGAAAGCAATGGTTACAGAGACCATGATGAAGCTGCGAAATGAGCTGAAGGCTTTGAAGGAGGATGCTGCCACCTTCTCTTCCCTGAGAGCTATGTTTGCTACAAGGTAACAAATATAATGAACTCCACAAAATTTAATTCCTTGCTTGTGTGGGGAAGAGTTGAACATCCTTCTCATCCACAATGCAGAGAGTGAAGCAGTAGGTGCTTCTTCCCAAGATCATTGCTTGCAGTGTGTGTGTGTGTCTGTGATATGCTCCTGTTCATGAGGAACATGTGTGGCTATAGTGTGCTGCTACAAAACATAAAGCTGTTGTGGCAGTATTTATTCAAGTTGGTTGGGAGATTACCTGTTTTCCCTGGTTCTTGAAGTGATTAGCTCTGAGAAGGAGTGACATTTAACAATGGAAAATGAGCATTTATTCTACACTGAAGATGGGACTCTGCTTTACCTTGATGATCTAGGAAAAGGTAAAGATGTTGCAAACATCCTGGTATTCTTAGGCTGTCCATCCTGAAATTGGCATCTGTTGTTTCACTGACCTGTGTCAGATGATTTGATTGCTTTGTCTTTGGAACTTGCTTCTGCTTCTTAGTTGTGCTTTATGGTGTGATACATGGAATCACTAAATCATCAAGTTTGGGAGAGATCTTTAAGATCATCAAGTCCAGCTGTCCACCCAGCACTACCATTTAACCTCTAACCCACATCACCCAGCACTGCATCCAGATGCTTTTTGAACACCTCCAGGGAGGATGACTCCACCACCTTCCTGGGCAGCCTATTCCAATGCCTGGCCACCTGAACAGTGAAAACAGTTTTTTAATACCTACTCTGAATCTCCCCTGTCTCAGCTCAAGGCCATTTCCTGTGATCCTCTCACTGCAGGCACAGCAGAAGAAACTGGCCCCACCTCACTACTGCCTCTCCAGCAGTTGTAGAGAGTGATGAGATCCCCCCAAGCCTCTTCTTGACAAGACTAAATAAACCCAGTTCTCTCAGCTATTCCTCATTAATATTCAGAAAAGCTAGACACAGAAGATGTGACTTTGAGTATTTCCAGAAAGGGAATAACAGCATTTACCTCCTTTTCCTGGTGCTAGATCTGGAGGTGATGAATGGCATCTAGAGACTAAAAAAGGTCTGGGCTGTCAGCATCCCTGTGAAAGCAAGGAGATGTCGAGGCAGGGCAAAGGCATTTCACTATCCAATGGGCATGCTACAAAACCCCATAAATGATGCTGTGCACACACATTTACAGCACTGAGGTGTCTGCTCTAGACTCTGTGTCTGAGAACTAAAATGTAGTAGCTGCATATGTTGACATTCAACCTTGGTGAAGGTGCCTTTTGTAGATAGGCCCTGGACCTGGGTTGTAAAAGTCTTCTTCCAGAGATTTGTTGAAGTGTCTATGTCCACATCACCTTCCCATGTTCCTGGTGCTCTGCTTGAACCCTGCTGCTAAGAGAGTGAACCACAGGATGCATTCTTGTGAAATAATAATGGTGTGCAGAGAGCTCCTCACAGTACACTGTGCCAGCTCTTGTTTGGCAGTTTGTCTGCCCTTTTGGTTTTAATCAAAGTGGAAAGTGAGTTACTTTAAAATACAGGAGATTACTGCAGCAACAATTATTTGTTTCCATGGTTTAGATTCACAAGTCCTGGTTATGTTTGACAATTCATAGAAAGTGTCAGTGCTTGTATGATGTAAAAAGCAAAGCACATGCACGGCTTGGGTGGTGTGGGGTGGGGAGAGCTGAAGAGCTTGGAATTAGAGCCTCGGTAAGGAAAAGGTGGGGGGAAGGTGTTAAAAATCTGTCTTTACTATTAATTTCTAATATAAAGATTGAGTTAGAAACAGCAGGTGGCTGATCTCTTACAGCTGAATGCAGTCAGTGCTCATTTTCATCTCATTTTAACTGTGTCTCTGCTAATACGTTTCCCAGTTTTTAATAAAGCTGAGAAATTGTGATTTTAATCCTGCATGTTTGAATTTCCTTAGTGGGTTGACAGTTTAATCTCTCGAGGTAGAAGTAGTTGATGCTTCTCTCTAGTTCCTCCTTCAGTCACTGTTGAGTCACCTGTCTTGTTTTCTTGGAAGTTGTCATGTGGTCTTCATTGATTGCAGGGAAGAGGGGAAAAATATGGGTATGCCCAGGTGCATTTGGTTACATCACTTTTTCTTTTCTTTTTTTTTTTTTCTTCTGGAACAGGGCTTGATTTACTAATGAATTTACATATAAATGGTATTAAAACTATTACATGCTGACCCTTACATAAACTGGTCTGTAGAACTAAGGCCAAACCAATGTTTGTGGGAAGCAGTGGTATGCAGCTTTGGAAAATGCCAAGTTAGGTTTTTCAATAGTTTGGCTTCAAAGAGTTTAAGAAGATATAGTTTTTATTTCTCATCATTATATTTAACACTCAGGATGTTTATTTTCTTGGTGTATATATTTGTATATAGCTGGTGTTGTTTTTAAAAATCTAGTTGATGTTTCCTTAAGCTTCTTTTTTTTGTTGTTGTTGTTAATTACCAGTACTAAGAAAATGGGCAGAATCAGAGCCTTGTGTTCACTATCTACTTAAAGCTGCAAATGTGTGAAAGCAGGCTGATACTAATTTCACATTCTTCCTAAAAACCTGAAAGCCAAATGATCTTCTTTCAAAGGTGTTCTTAAAAGAAAGACATCTGTTCTGATTTTATTGAATATATAGCTGGGAAGTAGCCTAGCACATGACAAATGGAATGGTAAAAGGGGAAGGACCCTTATTGTTCTGTCAAAGCAGTAAAAATACACAGGTCACAAAGATATGCTGCCATAGCTGCTGCTGCCGCCATCTAAATCAGGTCCAGAGCCTGTGTCGTCCTAGATGATTAGGGAGGCAACATTGCTGGGTTTTGGTTTGGGTTTTTTTGGGAAAATGAAATTGAGAGTCAGTGAGCAGCATGAAGGAAGAAAGCAGTGCAGATCCCTGTCCACCTCTGTGTGCAACATCTACAGCCACTTCTAGAAAACTTCTTATCCCCTTGTTCCAGTAAATGATTGCTGTGCTTTGTACAGTGTGATGTTCCTTGACCCAGGACAGCCATGCTTGCACCAGGACAAGGTTTGAGTTTGCGGCTATATGATTCCTTTTGGATTAAAGAATCAGGAAAGCAGGTTCAGGGTGCAGGATGGTGTGTAGGCAGAGTAGTTAATGCTCCTGCTTCTCCCCAGTCATCTCTTCTATAGAAGAAAATGGTCGCTCAGGTACAGTTACAAACTGCAGCTGCACATATGCTACTGACAACACTTCCCTTTTTGTGGGGAAGAAAGGAAAAACTCCCCAAATAGAGTTCTATGGAATAACAAAAAAACCAAGCAACCAATTTAGGTATTTGAAATAGTGAATACCTTGTAATTTCTAGGGACAGTAAGTTGATGTTCTAAATTTCTGTGCTAGCAGGAAGCTCTGTGAGATAATGACTTGCTACAATAATCTTTTAGAGTCAAAATCCTGGCTTTAATTACAGCTTGGCTCACATGGGAAAGACTTCACTGCTTTCTAGGCTAGATGCCAGGCCTAGAAAGGCCAGTCAGCCATTGGCTTTGGCACAACTGGCTGTACTTGGTCAAGAGGCAGGAGTTATACCAGAACATAAGTAAGATGGTGTGGGAAGTCCCTGCTCTGCTTTACTGCAATGGTTTGGTTTTCTCTTCCTTATCTCTTTTTGTTCCAAATGGGATGGCGGTGAAGAGTTCTCTTCCCCTTGCTTTAGCTGGCCTGGATTAACACTTCTCTGCTGCATGACAAATCAAGACAGCAGCAATCTTGGCGCTGTTTCACTGAGCTGCAAGTTTAGGGGCTACATTAACTTTGTATTCTGTACCAAAATGTGGATATGTTTTAATTCACAAGAAAGAAGCTGGAAGAGAGCGGGGGGGAACCTCTGCATATTTTTTATATGTCCCAAATCTTTTGGAACTATAATACTGAGCATGAACAAGGGGAACAGGGACAGGTCACTCCAGTGCCAGATCATATTTTGCTGAAGCAATCACATTTCATTTCTCAAGGAATTGGTAATGCTGTTCTGGGCATCCCCCTGGTTTGCAGTAGTGGAGCTTGGAAGGAATCAGGTTCAAGGTGTGCACAGAAAAGATAGCAGAAAGGTCACTTCTAATATAACCAGACCTTGCTTTTCACCTCAGATGTCATGAGTGAGTTTGAAAGCTAGGGTGAAACCCCACAGCCTCTCTGTCTTCCCAGAAATCTTTAGCCTGTGTCTTGCTCCCACCCCCAGGGGGAGAAAACACCTCTCTGACACTCTGGAGCAGCAGGGCCCAGGGTCAGTAGGAGGCTGGGAGCTGTTCAGTTTTGTGGCCACACCCTCCTTCTGGTGCTGGTGACACCTTCCCTCAGAGGGGAAGACTCTTACACTTTCGAGATTATTTTAGTCTTTTCAGACTTCCCAGGGCTGTTTCAATCTTACTTTGTCTCTAGAGCTGAAATGGGTCAATGGGACAAGATCTGGCCCAGAGTCTGGCTTCCACTCCCTGGAGTGTAGCAGTTGGTATAAGTCCATCTGACCACACTGAGAAGGGCAGGTGTTGGTGTTCCAACAAGTTTAAGGTTCCTGGGTTTGGTTATTTGTTGTTTTGGGGTTTTTTTTGTTGTTTTTTTTTTAAGAAAGACCCCTCACATACTGGATTCTCCTGGGCTGCATAATGTGGGAGAGGCTGTGAGGAACTCCAGAGCAGGATGCCCAGAGAGGCGAGGGGACAGATTCCTGTGCATGTGGGGGCCCCAAACTCACCCAAACTTCCTGGTCTGTAAAGCTGCAGTGCAGTTTTAGTTCATGCATATGAACTATATGTTCATATTACTGAGTTGCTATTTAACATCTCTATGTATTCAAAAATAAAAATCTGGATTTTTTTTTTTTTCCTATTTATATTCCCAAGCAAATATAATTAGGCATATAGGCCTAATCCTGCTGTTTAAAGTAAGGGAGACTAGAGTTTGATAGCATAAGCACAGCTGATGAATCTGCATATCAATGCGTTTTTGTTTTGTGGTGGGTTTTTTTGCAGTCTGCTTTATATTACCTAAGGATAACTGTCCCTTTAAGTCAGGAGCTTTTCCATTTCAAAATTTAAAGGAAATTCTCTGCTGATATTTCTGCTTTTATGAAGAAGTTGTACTTTGCAGATGGTAAATTCCAGCTGGTACCTATGAATATTTACTTGTCTATCCATATGCATAAATGTTGTCTCTATATGGACCTACAGGTAGACTTTAATTTTTTAAGTTAAGCAGCTTCCAGACTCAGTGACAATGACTGTAGATGGAACAGCTTGAGGCATTCATATAGCTTTATCACAGCCTTCCCACTAACACAGTTCCTTTAATTGTTCTAAAATTGATTTTGATGGTGAGAACAATTAAATAAAGGCCACTTGCTATTGAGAAGACAGCCACTACTTACAGCATAATCAGAGTAGGTTAAAGTAGAATTCTGAAGGATGCTTGTTTTTAATAGTGCTGTTCAGTCACCACTGAAGATTTCTTACTTGGACTTTGTGTAAAGTAACAGCACAGTTCAGGTGGCCATTTCACAACGCTCCTGTTGCTGTCCTCAGACCCTTTCCAGCCTGAAGCTTTTTACCACTCTGTAAAAACAGACAAAAGCAGTATGACTGCATGGGGTCTACTTGCTGTGGGAGGACATCTCACTGACATTCAGACATGAGTACAGATACATCAGGCTCCACACTTCCTCTCTCCAAGGAGGTTGTTAATTATACACCATCTTGAAAACCACAAACATGAAGTGCTGAGTGTGGGATTCTTAGAACCCCAGTGAGAAGTAGTTGTGGTTTTCTACAAGTTTAGTTGAAGTTCCTGTTCAAGGGTGTGTATATAAGCAGCTGCAAAGCTATCACTGCTATATAGGCTGGACACAAGGGCTTATGTTGGAAGGTGTTTATAATGGAACCAGTATTGCTAAAGATTGATGTATTTCATTGCAGATGTGATGAGTATGTCACACAGCTGGATGAAATGCAGCGGCAACTTGCAGCAGCCGAGGATGAGAAGAAGACTCTGAACTCCTTGCTTCGGATGGCTATCCAACAGAAACTGGCCTTGACCCAGCGCCTGGAACATTTGGAACTGGACCACGAGCAGTCCAAAAGGGTGCGCACAAAGTCTGCCTCCAAAGCCAAGGGCAGTAACCCCAGTGTAAGTCCCATTCGGTCCTGTGGGGACAGGTCTGAAGGATCTGCCCTGAACAACCAGGTGTTTTGTAGTGAGAAATATAAAATCTGTTGTGACTAGGACACATGTCTAGAAAAACCATATTCTGCATCTTATTTTATGCTGTAACTGTCAGCGTAAATCCCCGATATCTAATGTCACAATGAGTTGACTCGTACTAGTGTGTTGTTGAACCAGGTAATACAAATGTATTACAGTGGTCCTAACTGTAACTAATGCATAAGTATGGGGATGCTATTAACAAGTTAATAGTGGAAACCTGTTAGCTTTTTCCACAATTAGCATATCTGGGCCTTGCTGTTTATGGTAAGTGTTAAGAGTACACCTGATAGAGTATGTATCTGGTGTTGCTTACTGTAGTTTGTATAGCACAAATGTGATCCCTTCTCCAGGGTTGCAGCATACTTCAATAAATGCTTTCATAGGCAGAAACAAACGGAAAACCTTCTTTGTTACTGTGGCCCAAGTGGTGAAAAACAAAGGTTAAAATTAGAGCTGCCTCCAGAATTCAGAGCATTTGGAAACTGGAGTCAAACTTAATTTGCCTGTGGTAGTGGATGTTAAATACTTGCTGTTGTATCACCACTAACCAAAGTCCTAAAGCTTTTATAGGCTATAAAAGCTAAAACAAAACCAGGTACATTGGGGACACTCTGCATCCCTCTCTTGAGAGGGATAATCAGAAGAAACTTGCACATTTATATTAAAAATATGCAATATTAACTCCATCTGATACAAAATTTAAAATATTAATAATTGGGATTCTACCTGGTAGACAGTTCCACTTTAAGAAGTTATGTCCTGAAAGGTTCTGTGTGGTCTTATGTTGCACCTTGCAAGCATAACACTTTGGAAAGAACCCATCTGAGATACCCTTTGCGGGAAAGTAGCCACACAATATGTATGTGTAGAATTAATGTGACTATGGTCTAGCATTGTTGGTCACAAACAGTTTTTCTCAGCTCTCAGTATTAACATAAATAGGTAGCATTTCAGAGCTCTGATCATTTTTTTAAGTACACGGAAGATACTGCATTCCATATGCAAGCCATGTGTTTCACAGGGCTCTACATTAGAGGCACAGGAAATTGATCCAGACCATCCTGCTAATAGTGATTTATGAAGTAGCTTAGTGCACATATTAATCTTTAAAAATGAATAAAGCTTTGTCTGATACTGAACTTTTAAGGGGCCTTTCTACCCACTTAATTACAATAAGTTTGACAGTATAGAAGTGTACTTTCTAATTGGTGCCTACATAACAGAAAAAGATTGAACATGTTGCTTCTAAAATTGTGGAAAATTTGTGGAGCACAGAAAGGCACAGTTCTTTGTTTAACCCGGAGTTTGAAGTGCCTAGCCTCAGACTTTATTTTAATGTAAAGCCCTGTTCATTTTGTACTCTTTCAAATACTTTTGTATGCCCGTAGTGTTACTAAAAGAAATGTGAGCCTGTGCTGGTGAGTGCATGATTCCCAAAGCCATTCTAACCCTGTGCTGTGCTTGTGCTCCCCTGCCTGTCCCTGTCCTTGCTCCCAGCTTGCTCCGTGTGCTGCCCATGCACACGCAATGCTAACAGAAGCTAATAAGAGCATGCTGGTTTTCCCACTGAGGAGAAACCATGGGAAATTTTGGCTTCCCAGATATTTTTAGGCATGTTGGGGGAAAGTCTAAATTACTACAGTGAGATTTTAAACAAATGTAACTTTGCTTCAAAGCTGGGAACCATGGAAAAAAATCTGGCAGCCCAGAGCCAGAATTTCATCTAATGATCTTGAGAAGAATCAAAAAACCTCAAGTGATTAAATTCTAATACATTTCTAAAACATGACTGCTTGGGGCTTAAAGAAATTTCAGTTCTGGTTTTAGAAAGTAGGCCCTGTGTGTCTGTTACTACTTCTTTTAGAAAATACTGAATTCTCCTGAATTTGAGCTTTAATATCGCTAAATAGCAGGCTTGATATTTTAGAAGAGATACCTTTTATAATTTTCAATCCTGCTTTTCTCTTTGCTGCACAATCTTCCAAAAGGCCTTTATTCTTCTCACTCCTACATTAAGTACAATTTAATACATCATGAAAGCAGGCTTTTGAATGCTAACTTTCTCTGCTCTAATAGACTCAGTTACAATTCTGCTTCCACCATAGTAGGGAGCTTTAACACAGTTTTCACTGCTTCCATGTCTCTAGTGACAGTACTTTTGCAAAATACTGATGGCAAAAAGGTAAACTGGAGAAACTAATTGAATGCATTGTTAGTTTTTTCTTTGAATTAGTTGGAATTTTCTGTAACAATTCTAGTGTTACCAGACAGTGACTATTGCTTTCAGGCTTGGCTCCTTCTGTCAGTTCCAAGTGTGAGCAGTTTTGCTATTAGCCCAATAGCCTTAGTGATCATTTCCATCTTCAGTCATTTCTGCAAATATTTAAAAAACCTTAACAGCCAGCCTGCTGTTTGAGTCTATCACTGTTATGGTTTATCCTGTCAGAAAAAGAACTGAGGAATGGTGTAAAGTGACTTGATCCTACCGTTTGTATTTCTAGGTAATATTTAAGACTGAGTCTTTTAATTCTTGATTAACAATTTCTTGAGATGTTCATTTACTGTAAGTCTTTCATATTAGTCTCAATGGGTTGGGGTAAAGCATGGAAAATTCCTTAAGCCATCACCTACCTCTGCAAGCAGGCTCTTCTGAATGATTCTCTGCATAGGCCTGCATGATATTCTGACCTGCATGTTTCTGGAGAACCTAAAGCTTCACTGAAAACATTTCTTGCACACTCACTGCTTTTAACTTATGCTCGAATAGCAAAGCTGTATTCAGTACTTGTAAGAATCCTTCTTTCTGCAAAGCTGTTGCTTCCAGGCTGACCCCACAAAGCCTTGTTCACCCACTGGAAAGGCATCTGCGAGCTGGAGTGGCTGCTGTTCCCCCAGCCAGATAACAGACCCTCAGCCAACTAACCTGCCTGTGCAGCACATGGATGGGGTTACGTTTTCAGTTGATTGAGAAATAAACACTGATTTTTTTTTTCCTAATGCTATTTTATTTTTCCATTTTTCAGCTGTAGAGTAGTTCCTGGAGAAGGCCTTTCCAACAGTGCAACACATTTCTTAGCCCTCCTCACTCTGGTTCAGAGTGGTGGCCCATTGCACACAGAATGGAAACCACTGACCTGATCCTAACTTTTGAAAACACCTTTTCCTATATACTACCTGAAACCTTCCCTTTCTGCCTGAAGCTATAAAACAAACAAGCTTTACCTATAAATGCTGCTGCAGTAAGAAACCTTACAAGTGCTGAAGAAACCTACTTCAAATGTAATCCTCACCATATTAGTCTGTGCTGTCCTAGAAATCTTGGATGGGGGAATTTACTTCATTGCAGATGCTCATTTTTTACCTGATTGTTAAACCTGTGCACTTTTGATATTTTTCTTTAGCTTCTTTAATTCCTTATGTAGAAGGTTTATATAAATGCAGTGGTTTGTGCTCATAGTCTCTCTCCAATTTGAAACTTGTGACTTATGAATTATATATCAGCATGTGGCAGAGATTTGGGGGGGGGGGGCTCTAGATTGTGATTAGAAAAGAGTTTCAACAAAAAGCAGGAGCTCTGCTGAACTATGTGCTGTGCTTCAGCATCTTCTTTTTTTTATTAAAATGTTATGCTTTATATGTTTAAATTACTGATTTTTTTAACTGCCATGTTCATTAAGAAATCCAGGGTATTCCAATTCTGGGGTTTTTTTCATATTGTATTATTATTCTTAGGAATAGTTCAATGTAACAAGAAGAAAACTTGACTTTGCTCTGGTTAAAACAGTAATAGGCACTTGAAAAATATTAAATAAGTAGTATTACATATAAATTCTAGAATTCCTGGGTTTTAGGAAGTTGAAGTATTATCGATTAACAGAATTTTATACAACTATACCAGTTAAATTCCAAATTGGAATTGTTTTGTTACTTTTTCATTTTATTGTGCCAAATTATGGTACATTTAGAAAGAAAAATTCTAAAGTGGTCAGTGATAGGGTGTTATCTGTCAGCGCCTTTCTGTCACTCATTATTGCCAGTAGTGCCTTTGATAATTTGAAAGGAGACTCTTAGAGTAGCGTAGGTTAAGTCCTGTCACTTAGGAGGAATGGAATGGCTGGTTTGGAATTTGTTAAAGATGTGGAGCAATAAGTGCAAAGTGAACTCCCATTTCGCACATTTTTAATGGTAGGCTTACTATAGAGTTTATATATTCAAGGCATTGTAAAAAATTCTGTTAGTCAATGATATTTCATCATGCAAATCCTTGCAAATTTGGGGTATAGACGGGAAAAAATCAAAACCACAAACCTGAACAAACATGACTAGACTTTGGGAGCCAGATGGACTCATCTTGAGCAGATGAGCAGTATATGGCCACATTTATGGTATCAGTCTGGGAATGTGTCAGGAATGTTGCTCACTTGTGGGCGGTGGTGGGGGCAGGAGCCACGGCACTTGTGTGCATATGTGAACCACAGCACATTGGGATCTCCTTTGCATGTTGTATCTAATTGTGATTTCAGCAAACAGAAAGAGAGAAGCTCATCAACAAGCCATGCCAGGTTCTCAATGGCTTGGTGAGGCTCATGTGGATGATTTAATTGGTACTTGCTGGAGGGGAGCACTCCCACTTCTCAAAAAAAGTACAAATTGAATTAATATTGAAAGTGCAGAGAAGATTTCTGTTTGCTGGAAAAAGCAAAATTATTCCTAGATGTGGGGACTTATATTTCCATCTTCTGTTACACTATTGATTCATAAGAAATATTGTTGCATTTAAAATTACTACATTTGTATGTGGGTATTTATTTGAAATTATGTCAAAGTACTGTATTATGTTCCATGTGCATTACCTTTTAGTGGTGGGTTGGTCTCCATTTAACGTCCTGTGCATGTATTCTTGCCAAGTAACCTTTACACAGACCTGAAAAACAAAAAAGTTATGCTTCTTAAAATGATAACTATGTTAATTGGATAACCTTAGGAAGAGGAGTGGAGGTCAAAACACTGCTTCCAGATTAATAAAACAGTTTTTAATCTAGGAAAGCAATGTGCCTGCGTAAAGGTAGTCACATTGGCAGGAGCAATAAAAGACAAAAAGAATTGTGTATTCTGCCTGTTGGTTTTGTGGTTTAAGAAGGTGCTGGTTTAAGTAGTTGGCTGAGGGGATTTTCAGCCAGGGGCCAAATAAATACTAATTTTTATCTGAAAGAAACTGAATACGTCACATCAAGTTTTCTGCAGAACTAGAAAATTAATTATTTGTGCTCATGTTCAGGAAACACCATCCTCTCCTATTCCGTGGCATCTTCATGGGTTAGTTTTGGCCTGGATCCGACTGGTTTAATGTGTGTCACTGAACACCCTTGCAAACACTTGTACAGGGAAACTAAGGGTAGAACTATGGTATCAGTGTTGGCAATTCATCCTGAAATTGCATCTTAATTTCTCATATACTCTCCAAAATACTCATGTACTGTTAGGGCCCCATCCAGCCTGGCCCTGAACACTTCCCTGGAAGTATTTCCTGGCTTGGCAGTGTTCCCTGAGCACCCTGGTCTTGTGGGAGATGTCCCTGCTCATGGTGGGGGGAGAAACAAGATGGTCTTTAAAGTCCCGTCCAACCAGTCAGGGATTCAGTGAAAATCCATTAAGTTGATGTTTGTCCAGTAGACTTAGCAAACAAACTCACAAAAAGCCCCTGCAAGAGAATGCCAAAATTCTGAAGGCAAGGCTGAGGTTTGCCCCATCAATACAAAGATATTCCTGGAGCAGTGACTTCATGTTGTCCCCTAGAAACATTCAATATAGTTTTATACTCTAGTTTAACAACTCTTGTGCCCCCAGGTAGGATTCTCAGAACCATTCTGCTGGTTGTTTCTCTATCTGGTAGCAGTCAGCTGCATGACACCAGCTCATCAACATAAATTATAGCTGGAGCGCAAGATGCCAGTTTTTCCTTGGGCATTGAAAACACTTGTTCAGTGGTACGCGATGAACTAGCAGAGCATGTGTGCTGGAACACTTGCCCTGATTGTAGAGGTCTGCATTTTCTATAACAGGAGCTTTACCTGCAGGATAATCTGCAGAAGAAACATGTAAATCCATCTGCATGCATGTGAGAGCAGACCTGTGAAACAGTAAAACAGGATTCAAGAATGCTTTAGTAAGAAGGAAAATGAGAAAACTGTCAAAGGAGAGTATTTACATTAAAAAGTTGTCTAGTGAATGGCTATTTATGAAAACATTCATTTTTTTGACTCTCTTCTGCGTAGAAAAATCCCCTCCCTAAGCCCTGGGGGAAAAGTTGCCTCTGCAGAGATGGAGGGTGGGTTCAGCATTCCAGCTGCAGATGTGGCTGGAGTTAAGTCTCTGGGAGAGGAATCTGCCAGCAAATGTCACACTCCTGCTTGCTGTGGAGACAGTAATCCACCAGTGATTCTTTGTTTCTTGCAAGTGAGGCTTGAAAACAAGTTGCTCACTTCCGAAAAGAGGAACAGGGCAGATTTCTGGATGTACCGAGATGCCTAAAGATCAGAGACCTGGAAGTTCCCAGGTACCTGGTTTCATGGGATGAAGATTAAGACTGAGGTGCTTTTTGGAGATACACCTAGATAACGTGGGAAAATTCGGCTAGACAAATAATTACAGTAGTTAGAGTTTAAAAAATATATTCACATTCTTGTGATTTTTAAAGGCTGATATAGTAGATGGACCTACAGGATCAGGAAAAGGGGTTTTTGCATCCAAGAACTTTGAAGAAACAATTAAAAACAAAAAAGATCACCTCTGGGAGCTCACAATTTAGCAAAGTGCTAGTTAATGTGATTATTCTGAGTGTGTTGTTATTTTTGAGTGTTATTTTGAATGTTTATCAAAGTTTCAAGCAAACATTCATTAGTCATTGTTGGGAAAATCATTCACACCACTCAAAAGATAGCTTCATCTGTCCTTTCCCAGGAAAGGAGGGGAGGATACTGCTTCCCAGTGCAAATGCAAGTTTCCCCAAGAAGGAAGTAATCACAGCTGAGGAGGGGATGTTTTTTCTTATCCTTACTGGTATCTCAGAGGTAACCTGAGAGCTGATCTGCCCCTTACCTTACCCAGCCCTGTCACTTTGGGACACACTGCTCCTGAACTAAGCCATCAGGTTTGATAGTTATCAAGTGAAAGGGTTGTAAAATGCCCTAGGTCCAGCAACTGTTTAAAAAACTCAAAAAGCCCAAGAAAGCCAACTAACAAGCTGGATCTGATTCTAGAGTATTTCTGAAGCAAAGGTAATACACTGAGTGGGAGCAGTGTAATGAAAGCTGATTTTTGTGACTGTGTTGGAGAAAACCTGAGAAAAATTTTAAAATTTAGATCAAATCTATACTGATATCTAACCAGGACAATGTGTGTAATGTGTTGCTTGCAGTTGAAAGTTACATACATGAGCAAAGCTTGAGTTAGCTAGATGTAAATGAGGTGAGTTTAAGGCAGGCTGAAGTGAGGTAGTAGTGCATGTCCAGACCTCCCATTGGCCTCATGAGAATAAGAATTTAACTGAGCTGAAAATTACTTTCAGGGTAGAACTCCCAAATACTGTAGCTTTTGACTGAATCGTGTCATATTAGAAGTACACTGTATATAGCCAAATATCTACCCTTGTGACTATCTTTACATTGCAAGAATTTTGAACAATTTTATGTATTTGAAGCATCTCTGATGTTACTTTTAAAAGAAATGTCAGCAGGTGGACATTTGGGCTCTGAATGTGCTAGGCTAAAATACTGTAGCAGGCTTAACAGGCAGGAGAAACTTCCATACTGATGATTTAGTATATAGTTTTAAAGCAATCATAAGAGGAAGAAAAAATGTTAAAAGAGTGAAACTTGTAAAAATAAATTCTCACTAGCAATCACATGATCCATTCTCAATAGCATTTAAGGTTTTTTTTGAAACTGATCATTTCTGCTTTTCAAACAGTAATCTATTTGAGGAATTACAATCCTTCATTTTTAAGGAGAGAATAAGAAACAATTCATTTAACTATATGCTTCTTCATATTGCTTGACGTAATTTCTTTTATATCTTCTCCACAAAACCTTACTCCCTATTTTTTACACAGAAGTTTTCAGTTTAACATTGTCTCAGCATTCAGACGCATGCTAACTCACATTTAGTGAAAAAACTCAATTTGTCAGTTCTGTAATAACAAACAATTTCCCTTTAATTTCAGGCGGTGAGACTGGTACTAACTATGACAGTTATTTCTAATTATGTTGACTAAACATTCAGGCAGCTTCTACCAATCTCAAATGTTGCTTAGCTTTTTTTCCTCTGTGGCTTCTACCCTGGAATTCAAATGAATGCACCTCAAAGCTTTATCAAGGGATAAAGAATGAAATACTTGATCCAGCAGTGAATCATCAGCTTCCTTCTGTTACCAGATGAACAAAAAACCTTCATTGAGCCATGTATCCAGAGCCCTGGAGCTGGTGCAGAAACCTCTCTCCTGTTTAGCAGTCAGCTGTCTCCACCAGGAAGCAGTGCTGACATGCCATGCACAGTGTTGGAGGGAGGTTTTATCATGTGCTCTTACCTGGCTCTAAGGAGTATCCTAAAATTACCCTGCCTTATTAAGATGGGAAAAGCATTAATTCTTTTTAGCTGGTAATCAAGAGGTTGTTTAGTAACAAGCCTCAAAAATAAGATTCAGTTTGTAAAAGTAAGTTCCTTGTGGTTTTGTTTTTCTCCAAGTGGACAGAATTCCCTAGCTACCAGCTCTCACCAGTACACATTATTACCCAGTTGCTGAATGTCCAGAGCAACTCCCTTTGGAAGTCAGCTTGGAGAAATAACATTGACTGTGTTCTACATGAAGGGAGGAGAATCTGTGGTGGGAATTGAAGATTAGTAAGAAACATAAAAGGGATGTGGCCCTTATGCCTGAACATGCAAAATATAATTATTGGCAGCTGTGTGGAATCAGGAAGCAGTTCTGGCAAAGAACACGAGATGGCAGTGCCAGACAGCACCAGAGAGAGACGGAGAGAGCCAGACAGGGCCAGGCGGGGCCTGACAGAGCCAGACAGGTCCAGAGAGAGCCAGGCAGGGCCAGGCAGCACCAGCCAGCAGGACTCATCAATTCACAGGACCCTCTGCTTCTTCAAGGAAAATGGGAGCTGAGAGCAGATCAAAGCTGGTCACACTTCTACACTAAGAGATTTGACTTTTGTCTCAAGAATTCTCCCCTTCACCCCTGCCCTTCTCCCTTTTGTTCAGGTTTGCCATGGTTACCTGTGGTTTTGTACAGCTCACCTCAGATATATTGCTTGCACTTTGAGCGAGTCACTGGCTTGGCAGCTCAGGGGTATGAAGCTTTATGGATGGATACCAGTGCTGCAGGTGGTTACCCTGAGTCACATGAGAGACAATAAATGGAACCACAATTGTGAAGAAGTTTTTGTTTTGGTGGGTTTCTTTTGTTTTGTTTTGTTTTGTTTTGTTTTGTTTTTAATTTTTATTTTTATTGCTCTGGTAAACCAGTTCACTTCCTGAGTATTCACCATTTGTCCGTGTCTCACATAACTGTTCTGGGCTTGTGCAGGATCCGTTGGGCATAGAACACTGCACAAATTAACTGCTTGTTAATTTCAGTGCCTAGCAGAAATGGGTTGGGGCAGCAAAAGCTGTCTTCAGCTGTGTTAGGTCACAGGTTTGACAGAGTGGTTGGCAACCACTGAGAGTTTGGTCTGCACCTTCCACTTTGCCCATCCATAACCCCAAGTCTGAGACCACTGCTTCAATCAGCATGGCCAAGGTTTGACCCAGCTGAGTCCAGCAGCCAGAGGCCAGGCTGGGAGATGTGGCTACCTATAAGTGAGCACTTCCACATAGCTCACCACTCACTGGCATTGCCAGCTTGCAGGGGGACTTTGTGAAAGGTAAGAAACCAGGCAGGCAATGCTGAGGGTCCTGCAGCAGATATCATCCTATTGTACAGAGAGGAACAAAGCTAAAATTATTGAAATCAATCAAGAATCTCATTATGTAATAAATAGCGTGGCCACATACACACTGCATACACGCCTAGTTTCATTAGTTTAGGCAGTTTTGCTGCCAA